TCTCTGTTCCTTTGTTTTGCGTGCTTACTTGTGTTTGATTTGTGTTGTTACTCACTAATTAGATACATTAAAAAGTTATTAAACCGTTTGAATACATTTTTCTACATTCTTAAAAAATGCATCTTGCTTTAGTAAAGTTTATTACGAATTTCCCGAATAAAGTTCTAACGTCATTTAACAGATTTCTTGAAGTGCAGGAGACATGAACATGAGCAAGAATGTTACACTGCAAACACAGCATGTCTTGCATCCGTCAGTGCTGGCATGCAGAGCACATTGCTCTTTTAGTAGGAGTGAAGGCAGATGAAGACGGACAAAAAAAAAAAGAGAGAGAGAAGCACCCTCCTGATAATGCTGACATTGATTATACACTGAGTTGTTGTCGACAGCATAATCACCTGACCTGGGACTTGATGATATCCTGTGCCTTATCACGTAATCCTCCATATTCCTGAATCTGTATTAAATTTGAGAAATGTAACTGATTTCCATTCAGTTTAGCTCATTTCCACTGAAAAACAATAGCAAAAAACATCTTGTGTTTATTAAGAAAGTGACTGACATGGCTATTTTGTGATATTTAAAGCTGCAGTGCGCAGTTTTTCCTCTTTGTCGCCATCTCTGTTCGAAATCTACAATTGCAGTCATTCGCGGAATTATCGACTTTACGTGGGTTATGCCTCGACACGGCACAGCGCGGATGAACAGAGTGCTGTCAGTCACCGCGCCGGTGTGGATACTGGCATTCGCAATCACAACATTAGAATTGTCACCCTAAAATGTCATCTGAACAAGTATGTAACATCCACTTTTGTTCTTCTGACCAACTAAGGGAAAAAAAACATTGCAGTAAATTGTGCAGGTTAAATCTAACGATCGCTTATCAGATCACGTCAAACCGTGCAAATTATACTTTGTTCTCAAATTGTTAATGTTCAACATCAGCATTGCGTGACTACATTTAAAGCCCTTCAGATATTTAGGCCTATCCTTGTTTTCGCATGGGTCCGGTTGCAGTCTCTTTTTCCAAACTCTCAGTCCGAAGTCTTTTGCATTTTACAGCGGGTGAATGTCCAGTTGTCACTGGTGATTGTCGTTTGAACCTTTCTGGATCCGCCATCAAATTAATAAGTTTAATTATATCAAGTGCTGTGAGAAAAGGCTATAAATCTCCACCTCCAACATCCTCACACACAATATAGCCTACTAGCCGAGACTCCTCCTTTATGTGTACAGATGTGACGTAATGACATGCTCGAATCTCCCACGGAAATCCACCAGTACCACTGGAATTAAAAACATTATTACAAGCTTACCGTTTTGAATCGAACTAAGGCAATCATGGGAGTTTTGAACACTGGTTGGTTATGTACTTGCTCAAAACTTTATTTTGGATAATTTTTAACCCCAAAAAAGTTACGGACTGCAGCTTTAAAGAGATTAAGGTCTACATAAGGTGAATCTGCAGCTTCAAAGGGATAGTTCAGCCTGAAATGAAAATGATGTCATCATTTACTCACCCTCAAGTTGTTCCAAACCTGTATGAGTTTCTTTCTTCTGCTGAACACAAAAGATGATATGTTGGTAACCAGCAGGTGATGGTAGCCACTGACTTCCATGGTATTTTTGTCCTACTATGGAAATCAATGGTCACCGTCAACTTTCTGGTTACCAACATTCGTTAAAATGTCCTATTTTCTGTGCAGCAGAAGAAAGAAACTCATACAGGGTTGGAACAACTTGAGGCTGAGTAAATGATGACAGACTTTTCTTTTCGGGCTGAACTATCCCTTTAAATAAATTTTCATTGAAAAAACCAAAGCTCTTTTATTCTACAAGATAACCCTGTTCCTTGAATGCTATGTAGTTTCACAGAAAATGAACTAATGGCTATATCTCAGAGGTGTTGGTTCCTCTTCATGAAGAGTTTAGCTCCAGCACACCTGGCTGGAAGTGTTCATTGACGCTGATGACCTCGATTAGCTACCTCAGGTGTGTTTAAGAGCTGGAGATAAAATCGGACACCCCTGCCATAGAGCTTTCTATTGATTTTGAAGCATTAATAGATTTTTGAAAAATAAATTAAATCAACAGAATTTAGTACCAATACTATAATTGTAGTTAGAATATTTTGTGTTCAGCAACATTTTTTTTTTATAAAGTGAATCATATTGTTTAGTATATTAACATTGTTGATTGTGACTGTATGTATGACAACTGAATTGACTCATTCTTGAGTAACATCATTCTTTCTTTGTCAGATTTCAGAGAACCCAAAGGAAAAGAGGCCGTGTCTGATGCAAGACAGATTTTTAAAAACCTGAACCGTTGGACCACCTGTAGTTATGACATTAGACTTCTGAAGCAATTTTATTTTTAAAGGTTGAAATGCTTTTGTCCTATCTCTCCCCCTCTCTTTTTTAAAGAATGATCTGTTAATATATTTTTGTCATTGATTGATTTTATCAAATAAATTGACTAAACTGCTGGAAAGGTGTCATTTATATTTTAAAAGGTCTTCACTCTTCACCAAATTTTGAAATGGTCAGGAATTTGTTGACGCACCATTGAAGTATAGTTGAAATATTAATGTTGTTTCAACATTAACTTGGTGCATCAGATGGCAACATTGTTTGACATTCCTTTTCAGTGTTTCAACAAAATAGGCCTATGTAGAATCAACATCACATTGTAACATTGATCAAACCATTTAACCAAAGATTATTTTCATTAATTCAACCACAGTGATGTAGATTCAACATCATAGTGTAACGTTGATTCAACAATATTACCATTGATTATTTTTTGTTAATTTCAATATTGATTCAGCATCGGTGATGTAGAATCAATCATAGTGTAATGTTGATTCAATAGCATTACCATTGATTTTTTTTGTCAACATTGACTGAGGGTGCAAAAGTAATGTTGATAAAATATCACTTTGTAATGCTGAATCAATACTACCGTTGATTTTTGGTTGAAATCTCAACATTGCTTCACCATTAACTGAGGGTGCAAGAGTGATAAAGCAACATCACTTTGTAACGTTAATCCAGTGCAATTAGCCTTGATTCGTCAACACTGAGTTAACATTGTTTCATTGATTACATGCTGTCTGGGTCACTACTTTTCTAAAAGGACACTTTCCGAATTGCCAAATCACAGTTTATTTTTTTACCATGGCGAAACGAGTTGTAAAACGTATGATTCATATGTTGAGATTAAGATCAAAAGGTCATGAGGACAAGTTGGAACAAGAGTGCCTATCATGTCACGACTGAACAATAAGGTTCACACTTTCTCGATTATCTTTGTTTCATTGAACAAGCAACATTTTCCAATAAGGATGTGTAAAGCGTATTTGGATTTATTTTACGAAATTATCTTTAAAATTACCTGAAAAGGGGACCTTTCTTTTTTTGCTTAGTTTATTTTATGTATGTATTTGTAATAGAGAAAGTGTGTAGGGCCAAACAGGAAATAATTATTATGTAAATCTGAATATATCAATTTAAATCTGAATATATATTTATTAAGCCTGAATATATAAATGTACATTTATATAATTAGACTTATATTTATATATTCAGACTATATTCAGACTTATAAACTATGTATTCAGATTTGCATTTATATATTCAGACTTATATTTACATGTTCAGATTTACATTTATATATTTAGATTTACATTTATATATTCAGACTTATAAACTATATATTCAGATTTCTATTCAGATTTTCAGATTTAAATTTATATATTCAGGCTTATAAACTATATTCAGATTTACATTTATATATTCAGACTTACATTTATATATTCAGACTTATAAACTATATATTCAGATTTATATTCATATTTTCAAATTTACATTTATATATTCAGGCTTGTAAACTATATTCAGATTTGCATTTATATTTTCAGACTTATAAACAATATATTCAGACTTACATTTATATATTCAGACTTATAAACTATATTCAGATTTACATTTATATATTTAGATGTACATTTATATATTCAGGCTTATAAACTATATATTCAGATTTGCATTTATATTTTCAGACTTATAAACTATATATTCAGATTTACTTTTATTCAGATTTATATTAATATTTTCAGACTTACATTTATATATTCAGATGTGCATTTATATATTCAGGCTTATAAACTATATATATTCAGATTTACATATATTTAGATTTGTATCTTTATATTCAGAAGTAGGCTATACAGCTAGCCTATATTTACATTTATGTATTCGAGATTTTCATATTGTCAGCGTTGGTTGCTGCAGAAACGAAACAGAATCTGCAGCAGTCTTTATTTCAAAAGAAATATTCTCAAAACAGAATCTTAAGAACAGGAACAAGGATCAGGAACAGAACAACCATGAAACGATAGAACTGACAACTTGAACCACAGGGACTAATCAAATAAACGAGACAGCTGACACGACTAACGAGATAATAGATGAACAGGTGATAGAAATACAGACACAGGGAAACATGAACTGAACACAGTAAAACTAGAAACAGACATGAACAGAACAGATCAAAAACTAAACATGAACAAACCAACACAAAACGCGGTACATATAATTATGGTAGGCTACACATGGTAAATAAATAAATAAAACTTTTTTTACGGGGTGTGAAAGAATTATTGATCCATTTAAAGTTGATTTGATTGTTGCACAACCAGGAAATTCAGCATATATATTTTTTAATTACAGGTAGGTTATATTAAACAAATTGAAAATGTAAAAAAGTAGGCTACGAACAAGGAAGTAGCTAACTAACTAACTAACTAACTGACTTGTTATGAAAGAATCTTAAAAATACAAATATTTTAAGAAATGTACTATAAAAATAAGTGTTTAAAAAATAACTGTGTTTTAAAAATATAGCCTTTATTGAGCGTAAGAATACTTTTCATTAGTAATTGATCTAGTACGGCTTATCACTGCCCTCCAGCGGTCTTCACCCAACACTGCGCTTAAGATTGGTCGTGTGTGAAACTGGCGTAGTGCGCATGCGCAGTGCAGTGTGCGTCCATTAGCAGGAGGGTCGCTGCTGGTTTTCAAACAGGATGAACGCGCCACCGGCATTCGAGTCCTTTTTGCTATTCGAGGGAGAAAAGAAGTAAGTGCAGTGCAACGCAATCTTTACTATTAAGTGATACTAATGGATAGTTGCCTATAATGAAACAAACAGTCAGCTGGAATACAGGATGTAGCTTGCAAAGTGTTTAGCTTGTTGGCTAACTGGAGTTAGTAACGTCCATCTGTAAAATAACAAATTATAATAAAAGAAACTATATTGCAATTTTAAGTGGACATGTTTTACTTTTGGGGTGCAATTTTATATTTTAAATCTATATAAAATATAAACTGGAAAAACGGTGTTCATTGTGAAACCTTCTTAACGTAGTGACATTTTCAAAAATAACCGCATTAACAAAATAAAAAAGTAAATATTTTTGACTCTGAGCCATTACTGAACGACAGGTAATAAGTTTTTCTATAAATGTATGTATTTATGTACACGTATATGTGAACGTTTTTGGATATTCTTTAGAATACCATGGTACATGTATATGGTAATTACCCACAAAGTCCTTTTAGGTCTCTGCTGCCACAGTACTGTTTGTAAATGGGTAAGAAAAAAATATATAGAAGCTATTGTCTGATATTCCTGCTCAACTTCCTTTTCCAGGATCACAATAGTTAAAGACACCAAGGTGCCGAATGCATGTCTGTTCACACTGAATAAAGAGGATCACACGCTGGGGAACATCATCCGCTCGTAAGTCTCTGATGGCCATGCATATTTGAGTCATTACTGGGACACTCTGCTGGTTTGTGTAATCAACCTGTGACATGTTTCCATTAGGCAACTGCTGAAGGACCCTCAGGTGCTGTTTGCTGGGTATAAGGTTCCTCATCCTCTAGAACACAAGATTGTGATCCGCGTTCAGACGACACCAGACTACAGTCCCCAGGAAGCCTTCACTAATGCCATCACTGATCTGATCAGTGAGCTGTCCCTGCTGGAGGAGCGATTCAGGGTATGTGTCGTCAGATCGTTTCGAAGCAGCTTTAAAGAAACAAACCATCAATACTGCAAACTTTATCAAATATAAGATGCATTCGAATTCTTGTAGCACTTTATTTTACGATTCTGTTCCCCATGGACCTATTATGTACTTATTAATGTTATTACAAGAACTGAGTTCTGAACTTTCAGTTGTATTTTTATTTGCTAATTTCTTATTGTATTACTGACTGCATACTTGTCTTTTATAAAGTTTGAAATTTATACTATTAGTTAGTTGGTCTTTTGGCTGCTGATTTTTGTTCATGTTGCTCAGCTGCTACAGATCGTTTTGCAAGCAGACAGAATTAATGTTTGATATCTAAATGTTTGACTAGAGTTTTTATTTTATTTTTACCATATTGGAATCGAAACTGGGAATTGATAAGAATCGGAATCGATAGTAGACCCCAGACTTGTAGTAGACCCAAAAAACAAAATCAAGACCTTGTAAAAGGGCTCTTTAAGTGTCCCAAACTAAGCAAGCCAAAGGTGACGGTGGCAGGAACCTAAACTCCATCAGGTGATTGAAATGGAGAAGAAAACCTCACAAACCAGTCCGGAGGCCAGTTCTCTTCTGGCCAGTGAGGGCTGGTGTGATTTGATTTCGCATTATCAGTCTTGTTTACTAATGGACTTTTTTAATTTTAGGTTGCCATCAAAGACAAGCAGGAGGGAATAGAATGAAGAACCATCACACTCCACTGGATGACAACAACTCATTCTCAACTAACTGAATTGCTACATTAGTATTTAAAAAAAAAAAAAAATGTTTAGGGCTGTGAAACGATTAATTGTGATTAATAGCATCCAAAATAAAAAGTTTGTGTTTACAGAATATATGTGTGTACTGTGTATAATTATTTTGTATATATAAATACACACATGCATGTATATATATAAAAAATATATATATTTAAAATATTCATATCTCATTTAAATGATATGAATATACAGTATATACATGCACATATTTCTTAATTGCATTCATGCATGTGTGTGTATTTTTATATAAAAAAATAATTATACACAGTACATGCATATGTATTATGTAAACACAAACTTTTATTTTGGATGCGATCAATCATTTCACAGCCCTAATTTAAATATGACAGCTGACAAGCTCTCAGGATAAATAATATAAGATCTTTAACAGCCTCTAACAACATTGAGGTTAAGATCTTTGGAGTTCCTCTTTCAATATTGCTTTTCTAACGAAGCATGCTGGTATAATAAATCAAATCTTGAACATTCTTTGAAAATGTTTCATTTCACATCAAGTTTATGTGTACAAGGAAATGATTTCCTCTTCAGCGCCCCACTTATTGTGATCTACTTTATTTTTTATTATTAAAAATGTGACTTTTTTTAATGAAATTCATTGATTTGTGATTTATGTGAGTCTTAATATTGTTGCATTGTTTCATGGGTTTGTGGTACATGTGGCTTTTCGAGATGGGAACTGATAGGCCTTCAGTTGTTTTTGAGGGGACACATTAAAGTGATGCACAAACGTTGCTTGATGGCTGACGGATATATTCCGATTATTAACTGTGGTTGTAAAGGAATAAGAACATGTCTGAGGTGTGAGGCACAGAAGTCTGAACAACATTTACTGCAGAAGAATGACCTGGTGAGTCAACAACATTACGTTCAAAAGCGATTGTCTTGACATCTGTATTTTGCGCACAAATGAGCCGAAGTTGCACCTCTGGTTAAACCCATGGTTGAACCGTGTGATCCATAATAAAATTCAGATGGACTTTTGTTCTGCCCTGACTCTTAAAATTGTGCTACTAAGCTTTTCAAACTGTTCACAGTTTTGAGTTCGGTAAGCTTTTGGTTTGTTATTTTGAGCATACGTCTCTTATGCTAACCAAGCCTGAATTTGTTTGGATGAAAAACAAAGTAAATCAATAATATTGAAAAATATTATTAAAAATTAAAATAACTCGTTTCTGTTTGAATATTTTAAAATGTAAAGCTGAATTTTCAGCATCATTACTCCAGTCTTCAGTCAGTATCACACGTTCCTTTAGAAATCATTCTCAAGAAACATTTCTTATATCTATGTTGAAAAAAGTTGTGCTGTTTAATATTTTTGTCAAAACCATGATGCATTTTTTTCAGAATTTTTAAGGCGAGACACTACATGCTATTACACAGTTTTTTCACGCATCTGTCAATTTTGGGCTGTTTGGCTTTTCATAAAGTGTTTTTTAGACGAGTGGAAAGAAAACATCCAAAATACAATTTGTATTCCTAAAACCCCTCTGTCAAAACCTTTGACTCTAATATGTCAACAAAATGAAACAATTGGCTTTGAACCTGGCTTTATTTAATGTTCAGATTTTTGTAGACGTTTATGCAAATTAGTTAATATTTAATTCGATAATGCTTTATTTACATATTTAAACTACATTTTAGAAAACTTGTAATACAACATTTTTTTGCAATTCTTAATGTAATCAATTAACTGGGGAAGTATGGTATTTTTACCTTAGTCACTTAGGGTTAATAGAAAATTCGAAAGAACAGTATTTAATGAATCTTTTGTAAGATTAAAAATGTCTTAACTGTCACTTTTTATCAATGTATCCTTGCTGAATAAAAGTATTAATCCCCCCCAAAACTTTTGAACGGCACTACATATTTAAAAAAATAAATGTGTATATATATATATTCTATTGCAGATCCAATATGATTTCACCTATGATCCAGTGTCAAAGACAGCGGTCCGAGAGCAGGAGAGTGGCTCTCGACAGTCCTATGTGTTTCCTGGAATATTTTTGTGGGAGAATTTTGTGTCAGAAGATGAAGAGAGAGAGCTGATCGCCAGAATGGATCAAGACGTCTGGAGAGAATCTCAGTCAGGCCGACGGAAACAGGTGAATAAGGGGGGAAACTGAGACGGTGTACTAATAAAATTAATTCCTTTCGCTTTTTATTCATCAGCACAGCAGCACGTACTTTATGTAGTAAACATTGTATATAAGAACATATATCATTTAAAGTTAAAACATTCATAAATCTGTCACAGAAAATGGTATAATTTAACCGTCATAAATGGTCACCGTTTTTTTTTTTTCTAGTTTGAGGATTTGTGGTAGTTCGATAGAATGAAATGTCCTCATTTCATTTATATTATACTCACGTGTGGCGCTGATATCTGTCTCTCATTAGCAATCGTGCCATGCTTCATACCACAGTCATGTTAAAAAACATGAATGTTTTCACTCATTCATAAACATTATTAGATCCATCAGCATGATGGCAAGTTCCATGATTCCGCTTATCGCGTCATCAATCTACGCCAGTACGCCTTTGTTATTGTAAGAGGTTAGCGGCGGCGAAAAAAATTACTGTAGCTTTAAGTGAGAAATATTGTGAAGTGTTCATTCCCGAAAGTAAACTCAAGACTACAATCGATGTGTTTCAGGGTGTTCAGGAACAGTGTGCACTGATATAGAGAATAACTGCCTTTGCTTTGTAAATTTACAAAGATTTTTGCAGTTTACTACAACAGTGCTGGTGTGTGACATGAATTTTAAAGAGACCTATTATACCCTTTCACAAAGTCTTGATTTTGTTTTTGGGGTCTACTAGAATAGGATTTCATGCTTGAATGTTCAAAAACACATTATTTTTTCCCATATTTGACATTGTTGCAGCACCTCTCTTCCCAGTCTGTCAGTAACGCTCTATTCAGTTCCTGTCTCTATGATTACTAACGTAACTCAACCAGGCCTCGGCCCCCTTTTGTTGCGTATGCCTTGGGTGGGAATTATTTACATGATGAATATTGTGATAGTATGTTTTAAAATAGTATGTTTATATCCAAAGGACTTTGGGCCAAAGGTGAACTTCAAAAAACGGCGTGTCCGTGTGGGAGACTTCACTGGCCTGCCTGCTATCAGTCGCCACCTGGTGGACAGGATGTCAAAGGCACCTCAGTTGGCCTCCTTCAAACCAGTAGAGCAGTGCAACCTAGACTATGATCCCGAGAGAGGCTCTGCTATTGACCCTCACTTGGATGACAGCTGGCTGTGGGGAGAGCACCTGGTCACCATTAACCTGCTCTCGGACACTGTCCTCACGATGAGTTTAGATGGAGGCTGGGGAGACATGGAGCACGGGGAGGTGAGAGTGGCTGTGCGTTTACCACGCAGATCATTGGTTGTACTCTACGGAGAGGCGCGTCACCGGTGGAAACATGGCATCCACAGAAAAGACATTCATGGGCGCAGAGTGTGCAGCACCTTCCGGGAACTGTCTGCTGAGTTTCTACAGGGAGGAGAGCGGGAGAAACTGGGCTCAGAGTTGTTAGATTTAGCACTGAGTTTCAAGGGTGCACCTATATAAGCTTAGATAAGCGAATGTATCTTCGGGTTTCCTTACATACAACTGTAAAGTGATTATTTTTAATTCTTTATTTAAATAAAGGCATATTCTTTTTACACACTGTTATGTTGATTTGTGAAAGAATAATGGTTATGAGCTGCAATCATTTCTAACTAATTGAACGATTCCCTTATATAAAAATCGTATACGTATGAAACGTAAGATTTCAATGTAGGGCGGGACTTGATTTTGTTCATCAGGAAATGATTGGATGGTTGAGGTTTACTATTGCTTTGATGTCATGTGATTGACAGGTTGTCCCGCCCTCGAGCGAGTAAACACATCATCAGAGAAGAGAAGAGATGAAAGAGGAAGGAGGGGGGCACATGAATAAAAAAAAATAATGATGTGCATGGATACAGAATTAATAATCAAATTCTCAATTGTGATTCTATTGTGACTTTAAATGTTTTTCCAAAGCTGCACTATTATTTGTAAGCCTTTTACATTAAATTGATAACTTTATTTAGAAATATTTTTGATTTGGTTATTACATCAGTGGTTTCCTTAACCTTTTTTTACTCCAAGCCCCTCCTTTGTCTGAGACAATATTTGAAGACCCTCCTATCTAAGCTGATATGTACCTTTGGTATTACTAATGTAATAAATACAAATAACTCAAAAATATGATGCCAGTTTAATGTTGTACATCTTTACTTTTAGTTTTTAAAATAGTATAAAAACTTATTGGGGCCCTTGGAGGTTTGCCCACTGGTTGAGATTCACTGGTTTATTATATTTATGTTTTAAGTGCTTGAAATATTACTCTCTTTTTTCAGTTAACTGCACGTTCAGGTTTTCTGACTACAATGCCACACTCAATATGGCGGAACGGTGACGCCAAAACCAACTTGTACGCTTGTGCGTCACAGCTGGTCAAAGTTCATTTGTTTTTTCCCGGGAAAACGACCTGACGTTCTAACCACATGACCTCGTGTGTATTTTATATTTAAATCAGATATCTGGCCCCGCGTGTACGTGAGAGGTAAGCTGTGTAAATCACTTCGAGCACCAATACAATTATTTTTACTCTTAACGTCTGTAAAACGTTTATTTAACACAACTAAAGTCAACCGCTCAATAAACATGCAAAAAAATGCAGTAAGGAGTTAAGCAGTCGATTGTCATAATCAGTTAACAAATACGTTATAACGGATATACAATATGCAGCATCGTATTTATGATTTAAAACGTTGCCTTTAGCATGATTTTACCAATATTGCTTTGTGTGAGTAATATGTGAGTTTAAACTAAAAAAGTTTTGATTAATATATTTTGACATTTCTTTTGGGAATTATAATGACATATTTTTCTTTGTTTACTTAGCATTTTCCAGTATTTGCGGAATGTAAATGATGTTGCTCATAGATAGTCTCTACAAAAGTTTCACTGCATTCTCCTGTATTCAGAGCCCACATAGGGTGTGAAGAATAGACCACTTGTCCTGTATCATTACATAACAAAACAAGTTTCTGACACCTAAATGCCCAATAGCAAGAGATTTACAAAGTGTGTGAAACCTGCAATCATTCCAGCCCACCTTTTATAAGGTCTGATTAAACACAATACCCACACTTTCACTGTGTGCAGCCATGGAGAAGATAACAGAGAAGATACTGCTGGAGAAAAGCTCTCCAAAGACAAACAAACTGGACCAGATCAAGACCCTCAAGTAAGAATTTGTGATTTCAAGGCACACTATGATGTGTTTTGGTCTGTCAGTGAAAAGTAATTTTTAGCTTTTGTCTAATGCTCACCAAGGCTGCATTTATTTGAGCAAAAATACAGTAAAGCAGTAATATTGTGAAATTTATTCCTGTGATGTCATTACCCCAGTCTTCAGTGTCACATGATCCTCCAGAAATCATTCTAATATGTTGATGTTTCTGCTCAAGAAACATTATTATTATTATCAGTTTTGAAAACCGTTTTTGTGGAAACTGCAATATACTACCTTTTAAAAGTTTAGGATAAATAAGATATCTTTAAAATTTTTAAAAAATATATTATTCAGCAAGTGTGTGTTAAATTGATTCAAGTGACAGTAAAGCCATTTATAATGTTACAAAAGATTACTATTTAAAATGCTGTTCCTTGAACTTTTTATTAATCAAAGAATCCGGGGAAAAAAACATATCAGAGTTTCCACAAAAGTATTAAGCAGCAAAACAGTTTTCAACATTGATATCAATAAGAGCCATTATTAATAATTGAGCACAAATAATAATTGATAATAACTGAGCAGTAATTCAGCATATTATACTGAGTAATGATGCTGCTGAAAATTCAACTTTGCCATCACAGGAATAAATTACATTATTAATTATATTAAAATGCGAAACAGATATGTTAAAATGTAATAATATTGCTGTTTTTACAATATTTTTGATCAAATAAATTGAGTCTTGGTGAGCAGAAAAGACTGAGCTATCAAAAAACATTAATACATCTTAATTTGACCGCCAGTGTATTAAAAGAATAAACTATTTGAATGTCCTTAGGTTGAAAACTTAATTTTCTAAAACATATGATCTGATATATGCATGCATTCTCTGCTCAGTCTCTCACGCATGGGTCTGAAGAGCGAGGATCTGCCCGTCCCTCTGCTGTCTAAACTGTGTAGTCTAGAGCAGTTGGATTTGTCTGGGAACTTGTTGCAGGAGATTCCCAAAGGCCTCTGTCTACCCTGCCTGAAGATCCTGAACTGCTCCAACAACGATATGGAGGATGTGACATCACTGGAAGCCCTGAGAAACATCGAAGAACTTAGACTAGAGGACAACCTCTACCTCACCGTGAGAATCTCACTTTGAAATTCGACCCTCATATTTATATGAAATCAGAGCATCAACAGTGGCGTTTGTTGACACTCTCAATCTTGCTGTCTCTGTAAATTGTTTCATTTATATTTTTTAGGTCAATGATGAACACAAAGTGATCTACCTGTTACCTAAACTGAGGATGTTCAATGGGAAGGATATCAGCTCTACGGCCCATCATATTCGCCATGGCAGCACTGAGATCCTCAGGAAGAGGGTGAGAACTGACTTTTACACGTATTCATATCATTTTCACCCATTGCCCCATTTACACCTGGTACTAAGATGCGTTTTGGTCGATTGGATCATAAGTCAATGAGGGAGACACATACCCGTTTACACCTGGTGTTTTAATCCGTCTCTTTTATCCACTTTCATTTCATATTTCACATTTAGTGTTGTGATCCGATAGACCAAAACGCATCTTAATTCCAGGTGTAAACTGTGTGATATTTCTGTCTGGTTTTTGTTATTGTTAATTTCAGTTAGTTTGTATATTATTAAAGATCCCATGAAACTGCTATATTATTTCTTTATTGTTTTTTGACCACCTTCAGGTGATTGGTTTGTGGGAACGAAGCTTCAGTCTCCCTGATCCCGTTACGGCACAGAGTCTGGCTGCTGTCGAGAAGAGTTTCGTCAACGCTGCCAACAGGCAAATCAAATACGGCCCCAGTTCCTTGAGTGATTACACAAAGTTTAGGGTCGGTACTCTTGTGTGTTTATTACGTTCCCTGGGTCCTCCTGACGCAGATTTGTGCATTAATAGAGCATCTATATTGGTGTGTCTCTGTGGTTGCATTTGAACTCATTTTGTTTTTGCTTTTTAAGCTTGAAATGATTGCAAAGGAATATTTGAAGTCACTGGCCTGCAGTGAAGAAGGAAGCAAAGTCCAAGACGTTACTCCAACAAAGGAGATTGAGGTAAAAATTTTCGATTTAAAGCCAAATCAAATCAAAATATAAATGGTACAGTTTAATGAACCTTTTGACAAAATATACACACGTCTCTTACCTGGTCACATTCAGTTTTGAATGACATCATTATTTAAATGATAGCATATTTTCAATTCAAAATGGTGAAATTACAATGAAAAAGAGGTGCATCACTGTGTGTTACTGTGGGCCGTTAAACATATCCATCTTCTCACGCACGCACTCTTTCACTGTAAAAACTAAAAGCGTCGCATTGGAATTCACACTCGTATTCAGTGAAAAGTAAGCCCCGCCTTCTTTGATCTGATTGGCCATCATTTTGACTTTGACGAGCACTGTTAAACCGCTCAGGCAGACCAGCCTAAAAATGTAACTTTTTAACTGTCTGTCATCCTAACAACAAACCGAGCAGTGCGTAATGGAGAGCAGCATTAAAGCAACACTAAGTAAGATTTTTTACCTTAAAATAATGTTTCCAAAATCGTCTCAGTGGTTCATTAAGTCGTAACAGGGTGAAAGGCACTTCTGGATTCGCTTTGCGGTCCTATATCTGCTATAACCACGCTGTGTAAGATTGCCAGATCGGGTCGCGTTTCTGTAGTTCTAATGAGACATAAGAAAACTACAAATTTGACTTGCTTTACGTCAAGCGTTACAATAGTCATTATTTTGTTTTTCTTCGTTTCTGATGTCGCAATACATCATACTTTCATGAAATCATGCATCATACTCTACCTTGTCTGTGGACCTCGTTCATTCCAAAGCCGGTGCTGGATAAACAACGAGCATGCGTGCGTCAGTAGGCTGCGCTAGGCTAAATTATTTACGACAGCGGTAATGGACAATTCCGCTTCCAACCTGTAGGGCGACCGCAGAGGAAAAGTTACTTGGTGTTGCTTTAAGAAATATCATATATTGGGGGCCCAATCTGAGCAAAAATTTGGTGCAGTTGCTGATATTTATATGGCCAAAATATAAGATGTAATTCTGATAGCTTGTAATGTAGATCAATGAGATCTCTATAACAGACTACTTACTTAAAATTGATATAAATATCAGTTGACACTTTATATCTCTCAATAATATGTTCACACCAAGAATGATAACTATGAAGATGACTAACAATAACAATATTAGCGTCCACACCAGCGCACTATATCGTTTATTCTAATCATGTGCTACAGTTTTGTCGTCGGTCACTTTAAATGCTCAAGCTCTTTAAAGCAGGATGGATTTTGATTGGCTGTCAAAGTTTTTATCGGTCATCAGCTGGAAATAAAATTGTGCCATTATAGTTGTGATGAACTATATCTTTATTGTGACCTTTATAGTAATTGTACTTGGTGTGAACGGGCTTTTAGTAAGATAATATTTCTATGTATACGTTTTATGATCAGAAAAACGTATGATGCAACATACAAATAAATGTTCCTCAAAAGTCTAATGTATCATATTTTATATATCTATAAAATGATGTATGGATAATCAAGTAAAACTAAGTTGCTTCAGTCCAGTAAATGTTCAGCTTGAAATATTTCTAACAACATAATTTGTTTTCTTTTTTTTACTTTTATAAAAATCAGTAAAGACACATGTGCCATGACCTGAAGGGGGACTTTTTTATACTAAAGTAATTCAATTAAAAGGCCTTTTACTTGCAAATAAAGTACGAACTATCAATCAGACGACAGAAGGCATGTAGTAGAACGTGTACAAGTTTTCATTTAGAGGCTTTAGAAATTTGCGTATCAAATATAATACTGTAGGCTTTATAGAGATAAAATGATTTTTACCATCCCAGGTGATAATTGCATAGAAGTTAAAGAACATATTTCATTGTTTTACACAACACAGACTCCTACAGAGAGAAAGACTCGGGATCTTGGTGGTAACAGTATCACGAGTCCTCAGAAAAGAACCCGAAACAACACTGAGGTGTCTGCAGAGGCCAGTCCACGAAAGTCAAATCGCTTGGCGAGTGCAGCTCCGGCTGAGGCTAGTCCACGAACATCCACTCGAGTGCTGAGCACTCCACAGAAAACTGACCCGATATTGTCCAGCCCCAGAAAGCATGCCAGAATGACCAGCAAGGACACTCCAGAGGGAAGTCCAAGGAAATCAAGCCGCCTGGAAAATATTTTGCAGAAAGTTGTTAGCAAAACTGAAAGCCCCAGAAAAGCCTCTAAGAGGCCAGACATCTCTACGCCCACATCACGGCCGGCGAAACGGGAGAGTCCGATGAAAACAGCTAAAGATCAGACTACAGCTCAACAAAGCAAACAGACCACTGCCAACACACCTCGCAAAACTACCAGAACCAAACTCCATGTTCCTCAGGTGGGTCAAAGACATAGCGCTTATGTTTTTTTCTTTGTTTTTGGGATCTACTAGAATGGGTTTTTATCCTTGAATGTTCAAAAAACACACAATTTTTTTTACATATTTTACATTGTCGCAGGATCTCTCTTCCCAGTCTGTCAGTAACGCTCAGTTTAGTTAATAGGATAGTTAAAGGATACATTAACAATGACTTGAATATAAATCATCTATGATGAGAAATTAAAAACATGCTGAATTGTGTTTTCGGGGGGCATAAAAGAAGTCAAGGTCTTCAGATTATAATGAAGAAAAAACACTTCATTAGAAGAATATAATTCTTGAAAACCTTAAGTAGTTTTAAGTATATTTCAGCATTTATTACTTTAAGTTATATGTTTTAAAACAAGCATTTTTTAAACATTTGGTTAAAATTTAAATTTAACTTTTTATGCCAAATTAAAGTCATGTGGTGTGACCAAACCAACATGCAGATAATTTGACCTTTTTTGTGACAAGGTAAGGTTGGATTAGGTTGTAAAACATCACGTGGGTTAGCCCCCCATTTAATGATATTTATTTATACATAAATAAATCATTTCTGATATTTGTAAAATACCTTTAAAAATAGTTGTTGAAAATATTTTGTCATGTTTTTGAGGTGCAATGTAAATTTGGCATTACAGTTACTTTTTACTTAGACCACGTGACATTTTAAGAGTCATCAAATAAAAAAAGGAATACAAAACATGTATTGTAAACTACACTTTTTCCCTCATTCTTTTATCTCAGACACTCCTATTTGTTGTTTTTGAACTTTAATCAGCTTTCTGACTATGGTTTTGCTTAATTCAGATTATTGTATTTGCATGTCTATTGCCACTGAATCACTCTTAAGTTGTGGTTTCCTATTGTTACTTTTACTGTATTTGTATTCTGTTTACTGTTGATTGCTCATCACACAGTCATTAGCGCACCATTAATGTGCGTCTTTCTCCCCTGCCGTTCCAGGAGCCGGTGAGTCTGCGGCCGTTCCATGTCCTGCAGTGTCACAGTCGACAGGACAGTCCAGACGACTTCAGCACGCAGCTTTGGGCCTGTGCTTTTGAGCCCCCGCAGGAATGCAGTGGTGGGGGTGAGCGCTGTCAAGTCATTCAATGAAATGAAATCTGCTGTGCTGTATGCTTGAATGTCTTTTTGATCTGATATGTCTGCCATTGCTTTTAATCTGTTAGATATAAGAGATGGGTCTCGGACAGTTGCCACATGTGGAGGGGAAACTTTGTGTGTGATTGACTGTGAATCAGGACATGTGCTGAAGAAATACAAGGTTCCTGGTGAGGTGAGTGCAAAGAAGTTCTGTACAATACCGTCTCTGACCACCAGGTGGCTGTGGTGTTGGCCAATCAGTTTTCTGTATCACAGAAATAAGACATGGAATACACTGGCTATTCAGACAATCGTATCTCAGTTCTGCTGTCTGCATTATACAGTATGTACAGTATGCTAATATTCCATATGCATTGAATACCTGAGTTCAGTTCAGTATTCAACAGAGCAGACTTTGAGAAATATTTTTCCCACAATGCAATTCACTCAACTTGATGGTCCATTTGTAATGAATATACTATAGAGATTTTTTTCATAACCAATACTGATTATTTTGAATGTTTATTTAATATTTTACTTCTGTTTTTGTTCAATTTCATATCACAACCAAAAAAAAACAGCATGTTTTTTTTATAACAAAAACAACAACAACAACGATAAAATGATCAACAGGCAAAATAAATCGAATGTTTTCAAGGGAGTTGATCAGCTTTGTTATCATTCAGTTTAAACTACAGTTTACAGTTTGGCTAAGGAATAAAGACAACTACACTCGGATACATTTTCAGGAAAGCAACAATCAAAACAGTAAATATTGCATGTTAACAGAATTATTAATATTACATAATATTATAAATGGCAGTTTTGCATGCAATTCTTGAAATGTTTATTGATGGATCCCATATTACCAAATCAATATCTGATAAAGGACAAAATGCTTAAATATACCGGGGGAGGGAATTGTTGGTAAAACCAATTATCTGTCAAACTCTAGAGCATACTGGAAGCTATTAAGTTATTACTGAAATGTATGATCTGATCCCATATACTTTTTTTAATACACAGTGTATACACTACTGTATTCCGTTGTGAACAGCCACTGACAAATCTATTTCCATTTTGATGTCACAGAATCCAACCTAGCCTGTTTGCATCCAATGCCTGTAAATTCAGTGTTGCATTCCCTGTTGTCTTGTAGGAGTTCTTCTCACTAGCATGGTCCACGGTGCTGATGTCCAGGACAGGAGGCTCTACCCGACCCTGTAATATCCTGGCTGCTGGAGGAAAAAGGGGTCTTGTAAAGCTCATCCATCCCAGAGTCAACCTGGCGTTCGGAGAGTTTCGCGGCAGTCGTCGTGCCATTTCCATTATGCGCTTCAGTCCACGCAACGCTAGCTTTCTCTTCAGTGAGTGAAACAAACCGTTAATACATTAGAGGCTTTCACCAGAGGAACGTTTTCATAGTTCCTATAACTATTGGCAGAAGTACTGTCACTGCAGGCACTGGGAACGATTTTAGTTAAAGCTGCTGTAGGTAACTTTTGTCAAAAAATTTTTTTTTACATATTTGTTAAAACTGTCATTATGTCCTGACAGTAGAATATGAGACAGATAATCTGTGGAAAAAATCAAGCTCTTCTGGCTCCTCCCAGTGGTCCTATTGCCATTTGCAGAAATACACACTCCCGGTCGGAAACAACCAATCAGAGCCAGGAGGAATGTCTTAGCAGTGTCAGTCACACTCGTGTACGCGCTGATCACACCCCTCTCTTGCACAGCGCGAGCGCGTACCGTCGTTCAAACGCAAGATTGCCGGCGTGCTGCAGCTGTGCTTATGACGGAGAAACAACCTAAACTGCCAATTCTCGAGTGACACCTGCTCATAAAACAAAGAGGTAAAAGGAAAAAGACTGATGACGATAAACAAGCGAAAAAGAAAGAATTACACAGAGCCCATTGACTCGGTGTCAAAACTTTAGCCGCATAACATGTAGATAAAATGTCACGCACTCTGCTAAGCAACAGTTGAAACCTGCTAATTCACTGGCTTGTCATGTTGCTGAAATAATGTACTAGCACACCTTATCTAGCATTATATATCGCTAAAATAATTACTTACATACTGTAACATTAGTTACCGTTATATTAACGTTATCTAGCTATTTATAACTTATAGAAAGAGTGCAATGTTATAAAGTTACATGCATTGCAAAATAACTTGGACCAAGTTTGTAGTCAAAGTATGGGCAGACCATAGTCAATGTAAAGCATATTGTTGACGTTTAGTCCCTATAGTGAATGTGCCATATAACTTTTTATCCGCTGTATCGGTGGCCCTGTTTACTAGCCTGCGCGTTCACGACAGGCTCCGCTGTGGAGGACGAGCTGTGGAGGGAGGGCTGTAGCGCAGCAGAGAGCAAGGGGGTGGGACCTGTAAGTTGTGCTTGTTAAAATTTTCAGGCTAAGTCAACGTTTTCTCAAAACTCCCTACTGCAGCTTTAAAGGAACTCCTTTTGGGGGAACTAAATTAGCTCCTACTTCAGATTAAGGTCTAACCAGCACTATAGGAACGACTAGTGACGTTGATTGGCCGACGCATGGCATAGGAAAGACCACCACCCGCCATTTAAAACAAACAAAACATGTAAACAGTTTACATATACCATGGTGGGAGGAGCAAATGACAGACACAGTGGCTGTGGCCTGAGGCCTCAGAGAGGCATTCATTAACACAAATAAAAAAAAATTGGGGTTTTGGGAAACGCACCCCTGAGGGGTAGTTCCTATAACTGAGTTTCTAACTACCTGGTGCAAAAGCCCCTGATGAGATTAATTGAATAGACTGAATAACAACTTATTTGAGCTATATAGACATAACTAAAAATCACTTTGATTCTATTTACAGCTGGAACGTATGAAAATAAGATCTTTTTGTGGGACATTGGTGGACTGGATCGTAATTACAACTTTAAAATCAGGTTATTTATTATTTATTGTCCAGTAATTTGTGTGCTGCATTTATGTTCAAAAGCATTTTACATTTAAGTTTTAAGCTCTGCCACACTTGTCCATAACTGTTGTTTTTCTTATACGACCCACAGTAAGCTGCTGGTCCTGGAGACGTGCTCCACTCCTCTGCATGTCTCTCTGCTCCCCGCGTCTCCAGACACACACCTTCTCTCGGCCTGTGATGACGGGCTGTATGTGTTCGACATCCAGCTCAGTAAAAACACACAGAAGAGGTTTGAGTTTTCCATCAGTTCAGATATTATCATCCCTCTGCTGATTAATCTGTGTGGCAAAGAAAAAAAGTTTCTTTATTGAAATTTACTTTGCTTTTTTATTCTCAGAAATGAGGAGATGGAGGTTGTGTTTCCAATTTACAAGAAAAACGACAAGAAAAACACCTACCGGACAATTGACGGACTGAGCTTCCTCTCAGATGATATAGTGGGTGAGTAAATCATAAGAAAAGTTCAGGACTAGTTGACCAAATAATACATATAATGTATATTTTACATATGGTAAAGGTGGATTATTATTGATGAATTATTATTATTACTTGTACATAATTATATATTTTAAATTATTAATAATTGTTATTATTGATGTCGTGGTTGTTATTATTATTCACTAAATATGTCATTTTAAACATAGTTGTAAAAATAATTTCAAGGTCGTTATTTTTTTTCTGGACATTTTGTACCTGTACACTTTCCATTTACAATTGTGCAATGCTAGGCTTATTATCTTTGAAAGTGACTCTTAAAGGGTTATTTCACCCAAAAAGTCATCAATTACTTACCCACATGTTGTTCCAAACTTGTAAGACTTTCGTTCTTCTTCGAAACACAAATGAAGATATTTTTTATGAAATCTGAAAGATTTCTGTTCCTCCATTGACAGTCCCTTTGTCGCTTCAAAAAGTAATAAAAAGATCGTAAAACTAATCCATATGAATCGAGCGGTTTAGTCCAATTTTTCTGAAGAGACACGACCACTTTATATGATGAACAGATTTAGGATATTATTCACATATAAATATTCAACTCACACATCAGTTGTGGTAAATGGAAGCATGTTCGTTTGACGTGTGAGAACCAATGAGATTCATTCTTGTGTTACGCTGCATGTTTGAGCTTCTGCAAGAAACAATGAGGTTCGTTCTCATGAGGTTTGTTCTCACGTGTTCCCCAGCGTCCAAGAGCCACATGCAGGGCTCTATCTATCTGTGGAGCTGGAGAGCTACACGGGCATCTTGGAATGGCAAAAAGAAAGAGGTGGCAGCTGTTGTTCTGGCAGAGCTGCAGTGGTCCAGCACTGAGATCCCATACCTGTCTCTAGGCACCTGTCCAGGTAATAATGTTGTGTGTATGAAATGTCATATATGGTCAAATATAGGGACAAAAAAAAAGTCAGTATAAATATGCAGAATCTTTCTGGGCAGTACTCATTAATAATGTACCAATCACTGGTGAGACTTGAATGCATATATGCAGAAAATCTGATGGCAAAACTGATGTGTGATTGTTTTTTTCTTGTAGGTTATGGTTATGTTGTGTGTGGGGATGATCAAGGCAGACTATGGATGTACCATATCACAGACACCATGATGGAAAACTTCAAGAGTGGAAAAACGATTTCAGCCACTGAGGTAAGTTAGCTATTGGTGGGTTAGCGATACAGTATGGGTTTAATGATAATATTTTAGAGCATGTACTGAAAAAAATGGTGAACTATAAATAATAATGTCCTAATGAACTGGTCAAAAATATTATTTAGGGCTGTCAGTTAAACGCGTTATTAACGGCGTTAACGCAAACCCATTTTAACGGCGTACATTTTTTTATCGCGCGATTAACGGTCTTTTTGGCCTAGCAAACTTTGTAGTTTTATTCACATGCTTTTGCAACAGGACGCGGCATGCGCGGCGCTGCGCTATGAAACCCATTCATTTCAATGGCTTGCGCCACGCGAGGACGTTTTGTTGCTTCGTCGACCAAAGCGCAAGCGGATCTAGCTAGACCAGAAACACAACAACAGGCACGCCGCACACACTTGTTTGGGCTTGCGAGCCGGCCAAATAGTTGGTTAACGTTACGTTTTGAGTGGATGACGAACGCGAGACGCCGAAATGGATGACAATAAGATTCTGAATGGAAAGTTTACTTTTAAAAAGTTGCCAAATGGTTCCATTGACAAGACCAAAGTGATCTGTGTGTTTTGTCGTTGTGAACTGAGCTATCATCATCGCAGCACGTCCAGTCTGAAATACCACTTGATGATGGCCAAGCACACACACACACACACACACACACACACAGCTGATGCGAATTCTCCGCCCCCTCGTCGTCAGTATTTCTTTCACCCTTTTATTGATGGACAGTGTTACATTGTGTGAGAGATTATTTGCTCCAAGTGAGAATGTTAGTGTGAATTTGAACACAGTATATGCCAATGTTGTTTTCAATAAAAAAAACATTTGCACAAAGCAAGCCGATCCACTTTTCCATGTTGATAAGAGCATTAAAATGAGAAAAAATAATGGGACAAAAAGAAATCAAGAGACATTTAGAATAGATAAAAATGTGCGATTAATCGCGAGTTAACTATGACATTAATGCGATTAATCGCGATTAAATATTTTTATCGTTTGACAGCACTAATATTATTTAATATTGCCGAATCAACCTAAATGCATTAATTTATACCAACAAAATTAATTTTTATGGGTAAAATCAAGTAAGCAATAGCCACCACTTTTGGGTGTTTTGTTTGTCAAGTTTTCTCTCAATAAAATCTCTCAAAATAATTCTGTTAGCTACAGTATAGACACACTAAATCCTTGAAGAAAGTGTCAACATGTCAACTCTAGAGGAGTGATTGTTGTTTATGGTTGTATACAGAGCTCCTGGATCTCATTTTCCTCTTTTGCTCGTGTTATTTCAGGTGCTGGAGTGGCCGTCACCGGTTCGAGCTGGAAAGGGTGCATTAGAGGGGCCTTCTATTAACAGCATTGCCATGGATCCTGATCTACATTACTTAGTTGCCCTTACTGACAAGAATATGGCTGTGGTTTGGAAGAGAGAGAATCACTGAGAAAAAGAGATGTTCAGTTGCTGGCAGTATTTCTCCTTATTGCTTTGCATTTCTGAACCCGACTTGAATTGAGATCATGATTGTTTGAGGAGAGCAGGAGTTGATGAAAATGAAGACTTCACCTGTTTTTAAGACTTATTGTCTCAAAGAGACAGAGAAAGACTAATTTTGTCCACTTTTACTAGTTTTAGTAGGTAGAAGGCAATTGTAATTGCAAACTCATTCATAATTTTTTCTTATTTTGGTCTTCAGAAAAAATATTAAAGGGGACCTATTATGCCATTTTTCAAACTCTTAATTTAGTTTTTGGGGTCTATAGAATAAGTTTTCATGATTGAATGTTCAAAAAAAAAAAAACTCTTCCCAGTCTGTCTGAGCTGCGCTTCTCAAAAGCAACGTAAGCCTAGGAAGATCGTAGAACCAATGGTCTCTATGATCAACTTAGCTCACGATGCTTTTGAGAAGCGCAGCTCTGCTTAGTTCCTGTCTCTATGAAGCCCCTCCTTCCGAAAAGCACAGTGTGCTCTGATTGGTCGGCTGGACCAGTGTTTTGTGATTGCTCAACCACTTCGAGTGTGTTTCAGAAATGTCACCCCCCCTTAATGTAACCGTGAGTTTCAACACACCACTAATGCAACTCCACCAGCCCTCACCCCCTTTATTTTGTGCATGCCTTGGGTGGGAATTATTTAGATGAGAAATATTGTGATGTGTTTGTTCCCGAAAGAAAACTCAAGAAGACTACACTGAGGCGTTTCAGGGAGTTCAGAAACAGTGGGCACTGATATAGAGAATAACTCACTATGGAGTGACTTTGAGCTTTGTAACTTTGCAGACCTTTTTCATGCGCAAACAGCAACATTACACAATAAAGAAAGATGAAAATGTAAAAATCATAATAGGACCCCTTTAATTTCAGAGAAAAGATTGTGAGAAAATAATGACAAAACAGGACTTTTTATATTTTTGTTTTAATGAATAAACTGGTGTCATACACCATTTACTTATTTACATGACTCATTCATGCTTCACACTTCATATTCATGGGACATGTTCATAATCTGACTAGTTGCTAAACTGATGAAGAGATACACAAGTTGCAGAAGAAGATTAATTGGTCTGTAACTATATGTAACATAAAAGTGACTGATTTCTGCCTCTACGGCTCTCAAGTGGGTGTGCTACATTTTCATATTTCACCATAGATATAGAAAAATGTGAGGTGCTGTTGAGTTTGGAAAGGTGCCTCTGCCCTCTTAGGACAATCATTACATACTGTAGCCTATCTGCCTGCTCAAACCATATGCTAAATGTTTTATTTCCAATTCACTTTACCTCTTAAAATAGTCCAGACACTGAAAAATATTTATTGCAAGTTTATATTGAGGTCTGTCTTCTCAAGTGGGTGAATATTTTGGTGGTGCATAAGTTCTCTTATCATTTACTCTCTCACTCTACAACTCATGCTAGAGCTCACCATCCCTTTTTTGGGTGGAGTATCTCTTTAACTGGTTTGTAAACAAAAGCAGAATTAGACTTTGGAATGGGATTAGTATGGTATTTATTTTTTTACTTCACTTATTCCCTAGTGATTCAACTCAGTTTGGAATATTGATTTTTACTTAGGCCTATATTTCTTTCTTATTTCTTCTTGCTTCCACTAAAAGTGATGATTCACCCCCAAAAATTACTCACCATAATGTTTATGCTTTAGGATTAATTTGCTGTTTAGAGTAACACAAAAGGAGATGTTAAACATAATGATAGTGACTGACAGCCTGTCACTATTCGCTTTCATTGCATCTTTTTCCAATCCATACAATGAAAGTAAGTGGTGATTGAGATAAGCGTTCCACAGAAGAAATAAACCAGCACAGTTTAGATCACCATGGGAGTATGTACAAAAATAAATTACCTTTAAGGAAAACTTGACACAATTTACCCCACTCTCCGCTTATTGGGTGTTGGAAAAAGAATTTAAGAAGAAACTTAAACATACATTTATAAAGTAGTTTTGCTTTATAAATGTTACTTTCTCTTCACAGCGGAATACACAATAAAATTCCGATTATACAATCTGCAAATGTATGTATGTAGTCAAAGGAAGTGCGCTCATCATTGTCCTTGTGCTGCGCCGTGACTCGTGGCTTTCCGTTGCTGCTGAGGTCGTGATGACCCAAAAGCCCCGCCTCCTCTGATCGCTGATTGGCTGATCACAACTGTCTTCAGATAAACACCACAAGAGACGGCATTTTTCACATCTTGTGATGTGATGGTGCTGGAGACATGCAGCCTTTGTGCACACATACACTAGCTTTTTGGATGGCGAGGTAGAAAGGTTTTAACTTACAGACAAGCGATTGTTTTTTTGTTTGTTATTTGGGTTATCAGAGTGTGAAAATGCGCGGACGCGTGACAGGCCAGGCCATGGAGCTGCTGGGCAGCGGCGGCGGCTCCAGGATCAGCGTAACCAGGCTCTTTCTATCCCCGTCAGCCAAAGCCTCCGCTCCGCAGTCGACCGGCATCGACAGATTTCGATCTACATCGTCTATGTCCAGTCACTCTGAGCTGGCTCGGGAGCGGTCCAAAACCGTTACGTCTTTTTACAACCAGTCTGCCATCGACGCATCTGCCGAGAAGGTCAGTCACCATTTCCCGATGTTTTTGCACCAACTCTTGTCTCTTTAATCCCCCGATAATGGAGGTCGATATACGCTTTCGTCTCCATCCATGATTTGGATGGCCTAAGTTAATGAACCCACTTTTTGACGGTTACTCGTGATGTCATCACACTGACCGAGAGCCTCAAATAACGTTACTCTGCTTCTAGTTTTTTGAGACGTTATATAGCCTCAAATGTTTCATTTCAGTGGTAAAATGGGTAAGGTAATATTTACTACCACATATGAGATTGCTGTAGTCATCCGGTGAAATTCCATTTAGCTATTTAGCTGCTAATAATCTATCACATAGCCTACACTGTTTCCAGTAACCATAAGGAATGCCATATCCCCAAAATAATTTAACTTAATAATTTAAATAAATATTATTGCGTCAAACTTAACTGTCTGAGACATTTTTACAATTATCAGGTAGTGACAAGGTGATATTAGTGGATGTGTGAAGTCAGTCAACAATAACCAGAATGTGTTCACCTAATGGTGATTAATAACATTATTTGTTCTGCAATGTTTAAACGTTTTACTTTACCCCCGTTGCCATATTTGTCCAATAATATCCAATAACTGTGTTTTGTTTGCTGGCAAACATCTTAGGTGTCAGCAGTTAAACAGCCATGAGGTCTACACACACTCACAGGTCTCACACACCAAGGGCAGTAACGTTAGGCTTCAAAAATCCCACAACCATTTGACAAGAGCATTGTATTTGTTCTTACACTTGATTGCATGTTAAAAAGCATGCGTCTGAATGTCCATCATGGTTTAAGTCGTGCTGGTTTGCACGGTATGCTTATGTAAACCTGGCCTACTTTGAGCATCTCACTGGGACTGCGTTGGTGACTCAACAAAACCCAATGTGATTACTGTGCTTTGCCACTGCTCTTTTTGTACGAACACGTTCCTTATGTACATTTTTTCACAAGTGAATTAATTTAAAGCCAATTGAATAGTTTACTCAGAAATGGAGATTCTGTCATCGTTTACTCATCCTCATGGAGCATTAAATGCCTTAAACAACCATGTAGGAAGAGGAAGACTCATCATGGCCATATTGCAGGATGATAATGTGAAGATTCATCAGGCTCAAATTGTGAAAGAATGGTTTGGAGGGAGCAAGCCTATGAGTCCAGGCCTTAAATTCAGTCTTTGGGATGCACTGGAGGAGACTTTACAGAGTGCTGGACTCTTGTATTGTCAATATAAGATAAATGTTGTAATTTCATCCCTTCCATCAAGAGGTGCATACATTTTTGGTCAAGATTTACCTGCTTTTATTTATTTATTTTACCGTACAGATGACAACGATGTCAAAACGAGTCCCGTTCACACAGATCCGTGAAAACTGTATTATTCATACCAGGCCAGTAGTTGGCGATGCCACTTTGTAAAGAAACCCTATGCGCCTATAGACGAACATGTAATACACATGTGCATGACATCACCGGTTTCACAAACTCACATTATGCAGACAATAATGGTATAATTTTCAAAAACGTGCACTTTGAATCCCGTTTTCAAAAGCTTGCATTTTCAGGCCCTCAAAATGCCGTTGTTGTGTAAATGAGCGGCCAAAACGCTCAAAACGTTTTTAATTTTTAGTTGAAAACAGTGTCGTGTAAACTGCCCCTTAGTCATCATATCCTATAAAACTAAATGATCATTTTACAAAACGGGCTGAAAGAAATGCATCAGTTATGCATAAGAGTCTCAGCACGCAGCCACGTACATCATCAAATCAAGCACAGTTATATTTAAAGTATATGCTATTTTTAACAGCAATGTTCTTTTCACAGCCTTCTGTCAGACTGACACCAGCCACAATGCTGTATGTAGGGAAGTCTCCTGATGGACAACATATCCTGGTAATTACACACTCCTGTCCACTGTCCTACATTTATCCCAACCCACATTGGTGCTGGTCTTCTAAAAACTTTGCATCTGTATTTCATCATCATTGCATTGGAGATCACCAATCCTCTATATGTGTACTGTAGACTCCTAGATGATGCAGTGGTGTGGTACTATATAAACATCATAGGATATGCACATATTAATATACTGTAGTGTTAGTCCTGTTAATATCTTGTTAGTGTTGGAGAAAAATGCTTCAGCTTTTTTGTGTCATTTGATTCAATGCAGAGCAGTGCTAAGTATCTGCACAAAGAGCTGCCTGTCCGGATCGCACATCGCATTAAGGGCTTCCGCAGCCTGCCCTTCATTATCGGCTGCAACCCAACCATTCTCCAAGTGGTGAGTTCCCCTACACGTCTGTAGCTTTTCTCTGTTATCATTCATTCTGTTGTGACGGGTAGGGTTACCGTCTCTCTTACAAGATGGTTTGTTGGAGAAGCTCCACCCTTGATACTCTCAGAGGGCATATTAGGTGATGAGGAGCTGGGGTCGGTTAAGTTTAGCACAGTG